GTTTACTCCTCCAAGTTTTATTTTCCTCGGATTTTATTGCTTATTTTTATGTTTTTGAATTTAACCAAAATATTCAACTTCTCCAGTTTCCAAGTTTCTCAACCAAGCTAAAATCAAGCCTGAGTTACTGTGTGAACTGCTGAGTCGGACTTAAGTGTATGGCTCGGCTTGATTCGGTTCAGTTCATCATCTGCTAAACTCGACTTCAATGCCTTTACTTTCTCTCAACTAAATTTCATAACTTCATAGTAACTTCTTTTTGATTTTATCTAACATCCGTTAGAAAGGAGCATAAAAAACTGAATATTCCTTTCTAAACGGATGGACTAGCACCATTCTCTGAACAGAAGTGGGAGGAATATCTTCTGTTGATGGGAGGCTTAATGTCCTTATTTTGTCTTCGCTTCTCCTAAAAACCAAACTATTCAGAAGTGTTGAGTTTCAGTTGTTTCACTGAATATTGCATAAAATTTTCCGTTACTGAATGAATTTTCAGTATCACTGGAGGATTTGCATATGCGTAAGCCGTTTAAAAGTAGTTGTTTGATCGATCAGCACACGTTAGATCGCCAGACACTGCCATCGGCGCTGGCAGAATGTTACGCTGCATGCGATCCGCCGCCCGCTTTGGATGCACTCAATCCGTACAGAGATGACAAGAAAAGTGCTCTTCGGTGAGTTTTATGCGATTCATATTTTTTTTACTTGTCATACACATTAATGAGTAGTATCCAGGAGGAAGTAAGCAACCACTCAGGTGGCCAGGAGATGCAAATACATACGACAGGTACTAACTGGAGATGTGCAGGCCAGGATCGAGGGGCCTGGCATAGCTGCGCTTCGCGGGTAAAAGCATCTTAGTAACATCACTAACAGAGGAATCCTACACTGATAGTCCGAGCGGACTTGGTGTGTGACTGGTTGGGCCTGTATCTGTAAGATTGTGTGTTTATACGGCAAAATTTACGCACACAAGTATGCCAGCGGATTAAAATAGTGAGGCACGGGTTTACGGACGGAAGCGGCAAAGCGAATACCAATTGATACTTAAAAAATAGTGGAGCAAAAGATGCCTGGCATACCTCTTAGTGTCCATATAAGCAGATTGTTTGTTTGGTGAGCGGAATGTTTGATATTATTGAAGTTAGTGCTGTTAGCCTAAAATTTTAAGTCTGAAGTTAATGCGCGCTGTTAG